CTTCCTCAGTGTTAGATTCTAGCAACATTAACTCTTAAGAGATGTCTTTTTTCAGACCTTTTGTGCACTTTGAGTTTTTATTTTTGTCCTTCCTCAGTGTACCCTGCACTACATTTGGGTTTATTCATTCAGGTCAACACTAACAGACACTCCAAGCTTTTCAATACTATACTTAATTATGTCCTCCTTCAAAGAAAATTAATTTGAATGTCGTCCTGATAGTGGAAAATATTTAGTGAAGTTAAATAATCACCTGTCAAAATGTTTTCTTAGGTTTCTTGGTTGGACTTCTGTTTTCAGTGTCTCTGAGGTGCAGTTTTTAAGCCCAGCCTCTAATACTAGCAAAGTTTCCATATAATAATAGAATAGAAGGTGGAGGAATATTAAAATCCTTACCTTCTTGTAAATGGAGAAGATGAGCGACGCTGTCTCGGTATGCTATTCCTAAGCTAGCTCACTTGAAGACACCCGAGTACAAACTGAGCACAAAACCACAAAGTACAGGGCAAGTGTGTGTGTGTGTGTGTGTGTGTGTGTGTGTGTGTGTGTGTGTGTGTGTGTGTGTGTTACAATTGTAAATTAGCTCAAAGACAGAAGTGTTGATAGATGAGCTTAACTAAGTCTGTACCATACAGACGCACCAACAGTTTGTCAGTAATTTAGAAAGTAGCACTAAGCTAATCAGGATGAACGTCATCTACAGATTCATTACCACCAACTAAAACTTGTAGTGAAGAATTACAAGTACAGAGCTCTCTTTAAGCTGAGCACACACAAACACACAGAGCGGTTAATTGGGTCTAAAATGTACACGTGCACATTTGTAATCTATTTTAACTAACTCAAATTAAGTAATTGGCTGTTTGACTGACGGTCTCGGCTTATGGAGCACACCATGCTTACCTCTGTGATTCAGATGACGACTTTAAGAAGTCTTTTTCCAAGAAGACCTACATCTACTTAGGCTTCCTGTATTCACCATAATTCACATTCCCACTCCTTGATTCTTACACTTTTTTCCTATTTCTTGTGGGAGTACCGCAAAGGACAGTGTAATTGTGAAGTTAAAGGAAAACGACAAACAGTTCTCAACGTTATTTAGAAAAAACATTCGGCACTGAATTAAAGCCACGAGAAGTCTCCTTTTACTTTGTGCCAACCGTCACGTAAAAATTACGTGAAATCCCAAAATAATACAAAATGCTGAAGCTTTGACGACATTACTGAAGAGGCGTGCAGTCCGCTGATGCAGAAATTATGATTTAGTCCATCATACTGCTGTTTTTAAATCTGATTAAAAATTGAAATGGTTCTGTTACTCCGTCTATCTTTATAAAAACCACCCAGAGCGGATACGTTCCTCCTCTGCTCTCTGCCGTGCCGGTATCTTTCCATCATGCTTAATCTTTTCCTCGCCATAAAAGAAGCCTAGTTTCTTTGCCTTCTTATCTGATCATTTCATCAATGCTGTCAGCCCCCCCGCCCTTCCTTTCTACTCAGCTTGACACTACCATGCATCCATTCATTCGCCTGTCCTGTGACATGTATTCATCCATACCAACCACAATCCCAACATCAACGAGGGACGACAAAAGGGATATAAAAAGACATTAACTTCATGGAGTTTTTGACATCAAGAGCTGGATGACTGGCTCTTGAACCAAGGAACAGCTGTTGTACACAGCGATGTACATATTGGACACAAAAAAAACCCTTCTTGGGACATTTGTTACCAATTTCACGCCTAATAACCGTTACAGGCGTAAAGGGTCTCATCATACTTTTGGCGTGACGCATCACGGCACTCCAGCACAAAGATGGCATTCTTGCTTCGCCGACTTATGTAACTGCAGGTCGGCCTTGGCTGTCTATGGCCGCCGTCATCCGTGACCTTTCCCACTGCAGCGCTTTATTTTAACATTCTAAAGAAGATTCTTGCCTTTGGCACCAGCAAAAATGCGTTGAAGATACAATGGTGAACTGTCTTTGCAGTTATTGACATTATTAAATTAAAAAAGCTGTGGTGCTGGAAATAAGGTGTTTTCAGCCTTAAACCTTTTATGTTTCATGTGTAGAAGGTGCTTGTTACATCTGCAGTTGACGTAAAGTAAGACGTGACAGTTAGTTTGTTAAAGTTAGTTTGTTCAGTTGACGTAAACCAGGGAGTCAGTGGAAAGTTGCTAGAAGTCACTTTTTAAGTTGAAGAAGCAACTATGTTGAAACCCCCCCCCATAAACCCGGTGCGTATTTTCCGCAAAAGGATCTAGGTCAGTGTTTTTCAACCACTGTTCTGTGGCACACTAGTGTACCGTGAGAGATCGTCTGGTGTGCCGTGGAAATTATCCAATATCACCTACCGTATTTTCCGGACTATAAACTGCTACTTTTTTCTACACTCTGAACATGCGGCTTTTCTGTGGATTTTTCTTCAACCACCAGGGGGCTCTCTAGCAGGAAGTGAATCATTGGAAGTCAAAATTGGAAATCAAAGAAGAAAGTGCTAATTTTCATTTAGAACAACCACATGCTAGCAGCACGACGTAGAAATGTTTTCAAACTCATATGATGCAGCTTCTAAGTTGAGGAGTATTGACCTGGCAGTACAGGAGGGAAATAAATCCGCTGCACGTAAACTTGGTGTGAACAAAACCGGATTTGGAGACGGAGAACTGTGTCCTTAATATATGCAGCAGTTATTAGGATGCAGCCCTCTGCTGCCCTCTGCTGGGTCCTTTTGGGAAACAGAGAGCGGCAGAGATACCAGCGGCCTGTAGCCCGGTGCAGCTATATGCAAGTTTCCGCGGGGGGTTATGGGAGTTTCAAAACATGTGAAGGTACAGTTTATAGTATGGTGCGCTCATAGTCTGGAAAATACGGTAATTGGTCTTAAAATATTTTTTGAAAACGAATTAATTATCTGCAAATAATGCCATCTTAGAGTGTCTTTGCTGTAGTAGTGACTACGTAATCATGTAATTTTATTACCACTAGATGGCAGTAGGTACAGAGCATTTTACATTAAAACAAGAGAATTAGTGATGCATAAATGTTACTACATTCATGCATCACACACCACAGTGTTATGGCACTGTTCAGGTGTATTTTTGAAGTGGACATGTTAAGTGCAATTTGAAATAAGAAATGTAAAATATGATAAAAATATTTTTTTGTGTTTATTGGATTCCTATTCAAGTCACTTTGATAAAAATGATTATATGTGTAATATAGGTGGCTACAGAGTATCTTTGTTTACATTTTTGGTTGGTGGTGATTTTTTCAATTAAAACAATGTACCTTGGCTCAAAAAAGGTTGAAAAACACTGGTCTAGACCATATTTAGACTCTATTTGCCAAGGATAAACTCCATGTTTTTTGGAACTACCTGTGGTCTTGGCCAGGAATTGTGCGTAAGAAATTTGATTGGCAGCAGACGACATTCCATGATTGGCTCATGGGTTTACGTGATTGGATGATCTAAGGCGGCACTTATAGCTCGTTGCAACTGGATGGGGCAACTCGAAACGAACAATTATAGCAAGAGATTTTTGAGAAACTGATTGTCCAAAGTTACAGATGCAAAATGCCATCATCAAGAGTCTCGACGACAGATCCTGTGTGCTCACATTCCCACATTCCCGCCCAAGTTTCTATCAGTATTCACGCCCACATAGTGAAGGACACGCTGCCAGTGGAGAGGCACCAAACGTGGCTGGAACTGAACCATAAATGAGACTTGACAATGGAGAGGGGGCTTCAGCAAATTACATTAGTAGACATTCTGGTTGAGTTTTAGAAGTTTAAGTTCCAACACTTACAGGATTACAACTGTAACTGCAGCTTCAGAAATAGTGAAGTACAGCTTCTATATAAAGGACGATACACATCACATTTCAAAAATATGCTGTTGCTGTTTTCTCCCAAGCAGCATTGGGTCTGTGGCTGACACCATGACTACTGAGAAAAGTTATGGTGGTTAAAAAACAAAAGAAAAAGTGTCATAATTTTGTTTTTATGGAATTGCATATTCTAATTTCCTGGAGTTCTGTTGCCATTGACATTTTTAAGTCATTTTGATAACATTTCCATCCCCCGTCTGTTGCTGCGCACTGCTTGTCAACTGCCTGAAAGAAGGGTTGACGTTTTTCCCTCACTTTGAAGAAACCTCAATAAAACTCAAACTTATGGAATAGGAGCTAAAGGAGGACAAACCACTTTCATTAAAGTGACACCGTTTTAAAACTCCAGTAAACAAACTACAAAGTCTACAAAGTCATGTAAGCAGCAGTTTACATCTAGCTGCCAGAGACGCTAACAATGCTAATTACCAAGCTAATACCAGATTGTTATACTTATTTTACATTCCAAAGAGCAGAATTGCAAAAAAAAAAAAAAGTATGTTTAATGCGATAAACATTTGAAAACTAAGTAAATGCATGTTTATTTTTTTGATTGAGTCTGTAACTCAAAATTAAATTACAATGAATAAGTGCTTTAGGTAATATTTGAAATCCAGTTAAACCAGCTAGACATCTCAGCATCTGCACAAAGCTGTTCTGGACTGCAGATTATGATGATTGGCCTTTAAATATACCATTCCGTAATACACGTACATTTGTGAGATTTTCCTTGTTTTTAGTATGACTTTTAGGTTTTCTTCACAGAATGACTTGGAGGTTCCTTGTGACACATAACTGTCTCTCTGAATAAAGTCACTTCCAATTACTAAGAAACAAGATAATTACATTTTCGACATATCACATTAATTCATCTATCCATTGTCTACTCCTCATTATTTGAGAATGGCTAATCATGATATGAACTGACCTATTTTTAAGTTTTTATGTTTTTTTAAAGGTACAATATGAGTAAAGATCTTTGTCAAACATGTAAAGAGTGTTTCGTTCCTGAATGCCATACATTGTAACGACTGGGAGTATTTGATAAGATATAAGAGGCCTGAGTGAGTTTTTTTTTTTTTTTTTTTGTGGTGGGATTCGTACCGGCAGACAGTGATGTCTCCGTGGTCTGAGCTGTGTGGCGCGGTGCCAGGCTTGAAATTGGAAACGTTGAAGAAGGACAGCGTGTGGTCGATGAATCCGTGCATGGTGCCCGTCTGGCTGTACATGTACTGGTAGACGAGCCGAGGGATGAAGTCTGACGTGAAGGCGATCACAAAGGCCTAACCAGAGAAAAAAACTGAGTCAGACTATTTCATTTTTAGGGTATTATTCCTTTAAAATCTTAAATCAATCTTGAAGTTGGCACTGGCACCCTGCTGGACCCAAACATACCAGACTATCTGTAGTGTTTCCTTTGCTAGCAGCTCCATTTTAATAAAATTTGTATGAAAAAAATAGAATGCAGGATGGAGGATCTTGATTTTGTCTGGACTGAATTTGATCTGTGGCTGGTTTTGTGCGTCAGTCATTGAAAAGGTTGAGAACTTTTAAAGTTACGATACAGACAAAGCTATCCACAACAGAGCCAATGTGAAAGTATGATGGAGACTAAAATACGGTAGAATTGGTTCCAGAACATGTCCAAAAAAGTCTTCCAGATGAAAACATTGACTAGACACCATCTAATCTGGGTTTCCATAACAAATCTGTGCCAAACATTGTCAACTCACTTTTGCAATGGCTGTGTTTCTGTTAAAAAGGAAACACAATTAAAATCACACATGAATAAGTTTGTTCAGGTGTCGTCATCCTCTGGCCACTTCTGGTCGTCTTCTTCACGGTTTGCGCCAGTGGCAACATTCGGTTGTTGATCACATGACTCCTGCGATGCAGCTTTGCAAAAGAAACCCACTTTGTTGTTTTTGGCAAACTTTTCTTTTTTGGAAAAATTAGAGTTTTTTTCAAAGTTGTCGTGTTTCTATTAAATTTAGTTTGGATGTCAAATCGCCTAATTGTACGGTCAATGGAAGCGCAGCTACTGTCTTGTTTGAACTGGGTCACTTCAAGCCGAGGCCAGTTGACTTCTTGACGGTGGGTAACTTCCTCTTTGCCAGTCCAAAAGAGTTTTCCTTGCATCCCTCTCTAATTTAAACAATACTCCAAACAAAAGGAAACTTAAGACACTTATTGAAGGTCTATGAAGGAGAATAGTAGATTTACAGGATCTGGAAAAGCCTTTTGCACAAATTAGTTGCCGACAACAAAAAAGGAAACAGGCTCCAAAACTAAAACCTTTACACTTTGCTGAAATTTGCTGAAGCTTAAATGGACTTTGAATATGGACTGATGACCTGCGTTCCCTTTCCACTGCAATCCGTCTCCTTGTTTTTACAGCATGTACGAAGGAGTGCAGTCCTTTCGTCCATCTCTCCACCTTATTCAAACTCCTGTCCTTTGATTTGGAAACCTTCAGAATCTCTTCAGTATTAAAGTAAACAGAAAAGGATTTGGTTGGTTGGACAGATGCCCAGCCCAAGGCTGATCTCACCAGATTTACATTTCTGAATGCTTCAGCAGGAGAGCATTATATATTAGACGACCAGCTAACTCAGAAGTTAGATATTGTACGATCCCTTTTGTGTGCATTTTACTCCAATCTGAGCTCAATATTTCCCACAAAGTGCTGTTTTGTTGTTGCTGTTTTTATAATCTGTAATTCACCATCAAGTAACAAATCCAAAGTCAACCAATAAAAGGCTTTCAAGACATTTCACCATTTTATCATTAAGCTTCTTAATTTCATCATCTTTATCAAAAAGGGGAAAAAAACAAACTCAATGGCTGAAGAAGTGATGACTAAGACTCTTTACCAGCAGGTCATGTGGGAAAACAGAGAGATTCCTCCCAAATTCTTATTATTTAATTACATCGCGTAATTGTGTTTGAAAATAATGTATTTAACTTGGAGACTGGACGAACTGAAAAGGAATGGGAGCTGAATGCTAACAGCATTAAGCTGAAATATGATTATGAGATAGAGATGTTACTTCCAGAGGTTCAGTGGAAGGTTTTGACTTTAACAAACTAACTGTTAGTAAAAAATACTGTGATTATGTTCATACTTACATTTATTATTACTGACAGTTTGCCCATTCCACTCAAAATGTTGTACCAAATGCCTGGAGAAGGGAGAGAGCGGGAGAAGAGTGACGTCAGCATTACAGCAGTGTGATCATTGTTTAGAGTATTTTTATTCAGGTGAAATTATTTCTAAGTTGTTTTCCAGACCGTTCTTGATTTCTCTGAGTGTGTGTCTGCTAAACTTTGAGATATTTTTGCTCAAGTGGGGTTGTGTGAAGTATTAATGAGTAGTAAGTAGGTCAGCCGCGCTTGGAGGAGGTTTGGCCTCGGTTACATGGAACTGGGCCAAATGTTAGAGATGTTATGAAAATGGAGGAATAATACAAACTGAAACTAATATGAAAAACTGACGCAACGAAAAATTCACAAGGTTTATTTTGCTTACAAACCTAAACATTTCTCATTTTGGAGGCTTCAAAGAGTATGTGAACAGTAGTTTTCAAATATCGCCACAGAGTGGAATTGGATTTAGGACTGGCCTTTGACTAGGATGTTTCATGACAAAAATATACTTTACGCTGAATTATTCCCGTCAGACCGTCAGTTCCTGAAACTGACGAATTTATGTTTGACTCCAACTTTTTTTTTTTTACATGTTTGTACCAGTCTGTTGGTAAGTTGGATGAGCTTACCAATGTCTTTAGCTCGAGCAGCAACTGGCCTGCGTAACTCTGTGACGAACTTCCTGGCATCCAGCCTGATCTCAATGACGTTGTTCAGCAGGGCGAAGAGCGGGGCTAGGGGGAACGACGCCACGAACAGAGACACAAAACCAAACTGGATAACTGTGGAGAGATGTAGAACCAAAACAAAACAGAAAAAGTTATTATTTGCTTCTGTTATGTACAGTTAAAACTAATTCCATGTGTTATTGGAAAGACAGCTGTTGATCCATGAAACTTTTATTCCACTGGAGAAAACACGCAAAGAAAGAATTAAAAGTGAGAATAAACACTGAAACAAGATGGGATAATTCATTTTCCAAAACATGCTGCTTTGTCATATTTTTCATAAATCCAACATTATGGATTTTCTGTAGGCTACGTTCCTGAAATTTTTAACAAATTCTTTTAAGCTGTCCTTGGAAACACTGAACTAACCCTTTAGAGTTTAGCACCAAATTAAAATGACGAACTTCATTCAGATACAATTTACACACACACTCACGCACACACACACTCCTCATGAACATGTTTAGGATGCCACTTTTCTTTGACATGTTTGTGTGCCGACCCCACCACCCATGAGGAATGTCCTGGGTGGAGAGCCATAGAACTCATATTAATGAAAAGCTCCAGTCAAAGGAAGGAAGCAGCAGTCATATTCAATAAATCAGAATGTGTCCTGGTGAGGCTCATAAAAAAGTACAGAACCTTTTGAAAACCCTTGTGTTTACAAATGGGGTCCAACCGACCGATAACTTGTATCATTTGCCTCAGTCCTCTACATTTGTCTCAGTCCTCGCACGTACAATAGTTAAGGAGGTATTAAAAATATTTTTCATTAAAAATATTACTTTTATTAGTCTGAAGTAACATTTCAACTTTAAATGAATTATGATTTTTAAATTATAATAATTAACAGGCATAAAAGCATTTAAACATCCATCTGTGTGTAATAAATCTATATAATGTGTAAAAAGTTAATAAATTAATTTTTCAATAAAGTACTAATTTTTTGAACAGGAAAGGTAAAAGCTTCATTTGTACTTTTTACATGATTTCTTTTTAAATGTGGACGATTCTTTTCTGTTTTTAAAACTAAAAATGTTCGGCTGTAAATTAAAATAACTGATTCTTTGCTGCTTCAAAGTGAAACAACTGAATGTTTTGTTTCCTCCGAGTTCTCCCTCAAAGAGCAGTAAGATTGGATCTTTCTTGCCAGTGATTGGAGAATATTGCTGGCAAATATCAGGTGCTAGATTTCACCATGATAAACATGAATATTTAGCATCTGCTGCCAAAGGGGGAAGCATATCTGATCGATGAGAATGTTGTGTCTATCTCTGCTGATTAACGATCGGTTCGCCTCCGTCTTAAGAATGCGCAGAAGGAAACCCGAGACGAACGCAGCAGTCGGGCCAGCCGGGGCCCCCCGACGCGTTGCTGCGATCGGAGCGCTGGAACCTAAGCAGTGTGGGAACGGGGATTTCCAGCGAGCCGGAGACTGACGGCTTCACCTCGGGACACCACGCCGAGACAAAGAGCGGCCGGGAAGAGAATACGGCAGCGGCGCAGCGAGTGCTACGGGGCAGGCTCAGAGTAACCTCGCCGTCTACCTGAGCCGAGGTCGCCGGGTCCGGCCCAGCCACACAAAGGCGGCGCAGGAACAGACAGGCCCCATGTAGAAAAATCCCTGCGAACGGCAACAGTCCGCTCATAGTCATGACTGTCAGAGTGTGTGTGTGTGTGTGTGTGTGTTTTCCAAGCGGAACGCAGACATTTCTGACATTCTGCGATGCGCCCCGAGGCGGGTTTCCTCCCACCCTCCTGTGTCAAACAAAATCTCCCTTTTCAACACATAAAATTGTCTTTTCAAGCTGTAAAATCTGGAATGTAATTAAAGACCTGAAACGTTTGCTTGGTACCTCCACGTTACAAAACGCTTCACCACGTGGGTTTGTAGCTTTTTGCATGTTGTAGTTTGGAGAATAAACACAAAACAACAACAATTTACATTTAGATGTTTCTGCTGTCCTGTTGCTGAACTTTGACCCCCATCAGCAAGGAGCAAAGCATCAAAGATATCAAGCTATGGCGGCATCTTGTTTTACGTGACAGTGTCTAACCATCAGTCACCTCTCCGCTTTAACGTCCTTCAACTAAATCAAACGTCTTCATCTGCCCAGCTGTTGAAGAAGTCATTGTCCATCTTGAAATGCTATACAGGATTTATGTTGTTGAAAACAATCCATCAGTCCACTGAGGTCACAGCATGTTAGTTGAGTTGAGGTCTGGACTTTGACTGTTGCAACTCTTCATTCATTTCTTGGTTGGTTGTTCTGTTGCCGTGTTCGTTATCAATGTCCTTCTGATGACTGAAGGACAGCTGACCCCTCAATATTCACAGGTTTGTGTCAACAGCTGCCAACAAATAGAGAACATCTGCAAATACTTGAGATACCCTCTAAAAACACTTATAACCACAACAAGATAGTTAGGGGTCAATGTACAAAAAAAAAGTAATTTACACCAAGAAACTGGGATTAACTTAAGAAATTTTCTAGAAAAAAAAATCAAGAAAATTTCTGAATGTGAGAAGTCAAAAATTTGCTCAGAAACTTTTAGATTAATCTCAGAAATTGTAGAGGAAAAAACTTGGAAATTTCTGAGTTTCAAAACTTGACACTTGTTTCTGTTTTTTTGCAGGCAGTTTCTGGCATACCCGACTATCAGGTGTGAAGACTCCCATATTTGGCCTTTCTTCTGACTTCATTGCTGGTGTTTTGTGGTTCATTAAAGTGCAGCTTTGCAAATCCATCACAGTTGTCAAGTTTTCATTCAACTCAGACGTTTGTTTCCAACAGGAAACATTTCGGGGACCTTCCAAATGAACCCAGTAAAAGGTGCATCATTTTTCAAAAATCCATTTCCATTTACTCTTTCACAACAAAAGCACAATATTATTTCCAGCATTCTTCATGAACAATATAAAAACTCATAATAACATAACAGCAATCAAGCTGGGCAGCATTTTTAAATGTCTCTGGTATTTCTGACATTTCATATTTGATTAAATGAGGCGTTCTCATGGTAACCCTTCCAAACAAGTCTTCTCCTTTAGGCTTTTTCAGAGGAAACAGCAGCTGCAGGTATAGAAACAGAAAAGCTTGGTCCAAACTGAGTCACATAGCATAGCAGCTTTTCTATAAGAGAAAGTCTTAAAAAAGTTAAAAAAAATAAATAAATAAATAAAAATCACGAGAAAGACTGATCAGACATCCGAATAGAGCTGTCCAAAATCTATAATCTATAACCTCAATAAACTGAAGCAATGTTGGCTGAAACTCCCCACAAACAGAGACCGATAAGTTCACAGAGAAGACAAATACTTCTTCTGATCCTCCTAAAGTCTTTGGTTGCATGTTGTTACTTGTAATGCTATTAACCTATGAGATTTGGATACTTGTTGACAGATCGCGATAGTTTATTGGCTTCTGTTCAAAACACAGAGACATAAAAAGTGTTTACCCTTCTGATGGATTTCCTCTCTTTTTTTCTCTTTTGTTTAGCTCTTGAATGTTTCAGATTAAAAATGTTTTAATATCGGACAAAAACATCCAGACCAGATATGGAATAAGGTTTAAAATGATGTCTTCATCTTGGAAAGTGAAAACTTTCACCGTATTAACTGTATTTACCAACATCATTAAATCAACAATGAAAGGGAAAGCTGCGGTAATCTTTATTAGCCTCTAACCATACCTGTACATTCGAGAATTTACTTGAATAGAACCTGTATGACGACATGAAGTAGGGTAAAAGATCTCATCTCATAAAAAATAAAAACATTTAAAATAAATGAATTTCTAATCAATTCTAGACGTTTTGGACTTCAGTGAAATCACAATGACATTGTTTCGTTTGACTGTAAGATTACAAAAATACATTTGTTTAATTGAGCACTATAATATAAAATGGACCTTTTTTAGCTTTACCACCATGTTATCATGTCATTTTCACATCAAGCATTCCTGGAGTGTTGCCTTGATTCTTTCATGCATGTTTGAGAAATCCTTTAATCTCCCGTGGCAACCATTAATCTGTGCCAGACACCTTCACAGATTAATGGTTATCATTAATCTGTGCAGATTAATTAATCTGAGGAGCTTCGAGCTTCGTCTCGAAGCTCCTCAGAGGAGGAGGACAGGAGGAGCTTTGAGACAAGCTCCTCCTCTGAGCTCCTTCAGACTAGCTAACATCAATTAGCAAACAGCTGGTGGAACTGCGCCATCTGCTGAACGTTTCACATCTCAGTGAAATGCTGGTAAAAACATTAAAGGGTTAATAGAGGAGCCATGTTGTGATGACTTCCTGAGGGCGGAGCTTCAGAAAGAGCAGGAGCTTCTTAAAGAGACAGAGGCCAATTTTAAGGTCTTTATAAATGGAATCATGAGATGGAAACTGCTTTGTTCTGTTTGTTGTTTGCACTTTATATATTGTTAGTTTATTTGTCTTTGCCTATTATCCATGTGCTGCTGCCTTTCTCAACCAGGTCACCTTTGTGGAAGAAATCTTAATCTCCATTAGTTGTTTGATTTTTTTTTTATCTGCTTGAATAAAGGTGTAGTAATACTAAATTGTTAAAATGTAGCATTCGTTTGATCATTATTTAAGTGTGGCAAATTATCAAAAATAGAAAGAGCCAAACACTTTTCATAGAAACTATTTTTACATCTGTCCTGAACAAAAAGTTGGCACTCTTTTCAAATGACAGCAAATAATATATTTTTACTATTTACCAACAAGACCATGAGAGTGAAAACTATCTAACATTAGAGTGATGTTAAATTATTTGTCACAGTGAACATGTATCCATGGGGGAAAGGAAAGCTTTTATCTGCCTGTGTTTATGCACTGCAGTTTCTAGCTGACATGGACACACTGTGGGTTTGGTGTAAACACCGAGCCTATCTGCTTACTTACAGCTTCCAGAAAGCAACATATATACATGGTCGAGTATCTCTTACTATTTTCTCTCTTTCTTTTCTTTTCTTTTTGAAGATTTCACCATTTGCTTCGTGAAATGAGATCTAAACAACTTCCATCAGTTTCAAAGAGCAGTTCCCATCCAAACAACTCCAGAACATCCTGGATCCATAAGCGCTTCGGTCCGACTGCGTGTGTTTACGAGCGGGATGTGTGTGTGTGTGTGTGTGCGTGTGTGTGGAGGGGGTCAGATTATGTAATAGCTCTGTGTGATGTTCAGGGAAACTCAATTAAAATGATTGTTGGTTTCTCATTGTCCCCGGGGCCGTTTCCTCTCTCTCTCTGTGCGTGTGTGTGGTGTGTGTGTGTATGCAGACTCACTCATCTCCATGTATTCTGGTGTGAGGCCTTCAAACGGAACCAGCGCGTAGTCCAGGTTCCACTGCCGGGGAGGTCGCTCTCCGTCCTTCTCCTTCTGAGTCGGCTCCTTCTCCTTCAACGTGCGGATCAGCTTCTTCAACTTCCTGTTCAGATTGAGCCAGAGACATAGGGAGCTGTTCAACCAACGTGTTAAAACTACTCCACCTTGCAGGGATTCTGTGTTTCCCTGTCAGGTTTAAGTATTTCTGACTGTGTGCAGACCACACAGTTAGATGGAAATTCTCTTAAAAGACTCGAGCTAGCATCATCTTGGATCTTAAAGATGTTGCCATCTTAAAAAAAGTCAAAAAGTCCTGCACTTGTAAAGCAAATGTTATGTAAATGTTTCATGAGACGTGATGTTTACACAAAATATAGCAGCACAGGACGTTTCCTACAGGAACCAGAGGAGTCAAGAGGTTCAGTTTGTCTTAAAACGGGTTTTTGCTTCGTGAAATGTGGCCTGACTTTTTAGCCCCCAGAAAGCTGCTGTGTGTTTTTATGTTCCAATTATGTCTGAAGATACAGATCGGGAAAAATTAATAGACCACTTAAAATTATTGGTTTCTCTGATTTTACTTGTTATAAGTATGTTTGAGTAAAATGTACATCTTTCTTTTATTCTATGAACTACTGACAACACGTTTCTAACTATGAAGTTAGTTATGCTAACCCTGAAGCACTAAGCATGAACAATATCTTCCGCTAACGTTACAGCGCTACATGGAAGCTAATGCCAGTGCGCTAATCCTCTAAAATCGCCACATTAGTGAGAATTGCCTCACATTGATTTACCTTTACAATTTGACAAGAAGCTACGAGTGAACATGAAATAAAATGAGAGTAATTTAGTGGTGCATACCACCAACTCAAAAGTTAGTTCTGTTAACCCTTAAAGCCCTATGCAAACACAGATTCCGCGGAGGCTAATGCTAGCACGCTAAATCGGTAAAATCAACCACATTAGTGAGGATTACCTCACACTGATTCACCTCTACCATTTCGACTAATCGGTAACAATCCCAAACTGTAAATGGCGAATTGAACTTTAAGCCCAAAATGGTCAAGCCATTTTTAATATCTGAAAAAGATCAGGTATGTCTCTGCAAATATTAATTTAGTCTCTGCATCCGACAAAAATTTGAGCTTTCCTCATCACGATACATAATCAATATGCTAAAACTCATCGACACAACAGGACTTGAGTTTTCCTTTCTTAACATTTAGACCCAATGCTAAAAAGCCGTGACGGTTTGCTTTCCCAGTTACTTTCAGCAGCCTCAGCGTTTTGTGTTTTAACAGGATGAAAATATACGACGACGAGGCACAAAACTCATGAGATCAGAAAACATTTAGACTGTTTCAAAGTATGTTCCTAGTGGGTTAAACCAATCCTGCAAGACACTAAGAAATTTGTATTCAAATTCATGAACATTAATTGGATCAAAAAGCAGACTTAGCAGAAAAACATGTAACGTGTGTTTCTGCTCAAGTCAACATTGTCAACGTGCTGCATTGACTATAAAACGACATTATTTCCAGCGAGCCATAGCAGGTCTGCAGCACTCCGTCATGAGCCAAGTCTAAATGTTTACAGCACCTCAGAAGCAAACATCTCAGAGGAATCCCATCACTCCAACAACCAGAGGCTGACTGTTTCTGAAGGCAAGTTACGGCAGGAAGACTGGCTCTTATCAGACATGCAAACCTGAATCGGTGCAACAGAAATGAGATGGAGGGTTTACAGGGGTCACTATTTTTGATTCTTCTGAATCAAAAATTCAGAAGACTTTATGATAAACAGCCGTGGTTATCGTCTAACAGTAAAGACGTGCTCTCTCCGAGTGCGAAGACGTATTAATAGTCCCTGTGCAAAGTCACACACGTCTGACACTGTGCGCAGGCTGTATGGTGGGTGTGTGGTTGGGTGTTTGTATGAATTTGAAACTTGTAAAACCTGTAGTGAAAATGGAAACATGCGTTGTTGTTGTGGTTGTTGGTTTTGCAGTGCATACATATAAGACCAATCTAAACTCCTCACAGAGAAGAAGAAGAAACTGAGGCTACAGTTCATGCAGACTCACTGAAGTCGAACAATAACAAATTAGAAATATATCAGCAAATTGCCAACATTGGAATGAGGTTAATAAAACGAAAGCTCCGGCTGCAGCTGGTGTTGTGGTTTGTGTGGGGGATATTTTCCGTGGCACACATTGAGCCTCCCACATGCTAAACACCACGGCCTACCTGACTGGCTGCTAACCATGTCGATCCTTTTTTGAGCACGGCGTGCAAATATTCTGGGGGATAACGCAGCATGTGACATGTGATCATTTCACCTGTTTTCTCATTCATCAGACTGAGGCTGTTTTAAGTGAGTCAATTTCAGAGACACGTTGGGTCTCAGAAGGACGTCACTGTGAATATTCCACAGAAATGTATCCTCTGGGAGGATACGAAGGCCCAGCCTAGCAACCATATGTTGCCTTGAGAATACTCTGTCCCTTATTTGTGTTCTATGAACGGAATCTGTTGTTGGAAGTTGTCAAACCAAGACATTCATTCTGCAGTGGAACTGAAAGATTTCAACTCGCAAAGTAATTTGTGTTGCTTAGAAACTTTGCATTTCTAGCTTTTATGGTGACTGAATTGTTTAACTTTATAGATTATTAAGATGAAGATTTTTACTTATGTTTGGACATGTAAAAGTGGCATTGTACCTCCAAGGAAACATGTATCCACAGTGTTATATCGTTTTTGCCAAATGCCCCATCTCAATGTCCCAGCCGAAGGCGAGACTCACTGACGAAGGAAACGCTTTTCCAGTTTTCCAGTCTTAGCCAATCTGTTTCAAGGTGTGCATTTCAAGTGCTGATGTAAGAGAAACATTCTTTCATAATTGTTCAATCTAAAGCTCAAAATTCTGCTCTTGAGCAAAAAACAGACCCGGTTTGCATCCTTCTCCTCTAGCTCACTCTTTGCCATCAGCTTGACCTCGTCTTGGGGAAGTTCTAGCAATTCAACAGGTGGACCTCAGTGGACCTGTACTTGATCAGATGGTAAACCAAGTCACCGCTTCGTTTTTCTGAGAGACAAAAAAAAGTATTCCACTGGAAGAGAACAAACCTGAGCATGCAGGGGGCAAGTTTGAGCAGGAGCAAAATGATTAATAGTAGCAGAGAATATTTGAAAGAGAGTTCAGAAACATAACAGAACATAGAGCGTTTGTAAGCAAGCGGGAGCATAGTTTGAGTATGAGAACAGATATTTGAGATATTTGAAATCTGTACTACCGTACAGATTTTGTTGCGGTCTGCCTATTGGCCTTCATGCACACCGCTGCTGCTCATTAAATATTTTTTCCTTTATAATCTACTGTCTGTAAGCCTGAAATGTGATTGTGTGAACATTTTTGTGAAAATTTCGACAGATTAAAAGTTTCTAGCAACAACAATGCAGTGAGATGTTCAAAGCCTCTTTAACGTCTTTTCTTCCCCTCACCAATGAATTGCTGTTTTGTGATTGACTGTGTCGCTCTCTGTGCTAACAAGAAACCGAGTGTGTGTACCTCAAAAGGTGGATTCATATTACACTTCAAAATATACTACACTCCAAGAACACCAAGAAATTCAAGTGGAAGGGTTCAGATGTAGAGGATTCCAAGAACCAAAATAGTCTACTAGATTTTGCTGCCACCAGTGCAAAGATGCTTATTACTGGCAGCAGGTGGATGAACATGTCTCTGCAGGCGGTGAGTTGAAAACTTTTGGACGGTGGCCATAAGATATGAAGGGCAGCGCTGTTCAAGAAAAACATAAAGCAGAGACTGAAACTCTGCAGGATGTACAAGGATAGACAGCAGGTCAAAAGCTGTGTTCTCAGATTAAACTTGTTTTGGATAGAAAAATCGGTTTTCTGTAAAAGAACAGGTAAACACAATGATGAGTCTTGTGTGTTACCAACAGTGAAGCAACCTAAAACTATCCATGTGTTCAGTTGATTCTCATTTAAAGGGGTTTGCTTACTCACCATTCTGCCTGGTCCGGTCTTGGTGTTCAGATGTCCAGTCTTGGTCTCTGTCGTGGAAGGTCAGGTAACAGTCTTGATTTTTGGAAGGCCCAATCTTGTTGTTGGTAGATCCGGTCTTGGTCTTGGAAGGTCTGGTCTCGGTCCTAGAAAGTTCAGTCTTGGTTTTAGAAGGGCTGCTCTTGGTTTTGGGAAGTTTGGTTTTAGTCTTTATCTTGGAAGGTCAGGTATTGGTCTTGATTTATCGAAGGTCCAGTCTTGGTGTTGGTAGATCCAGTCTTGATCTTGGAAGGTCTGGCTGTGATCTTGATCTTGGAATGTAGAGTATTACTCTTGGAAGGTCTGGTTTTTGAAGGTTTGGTTTTGTTTTGAGCCTTGGAGGATGCCGTCTTGGTTTTGGTCTCAGAAGAACTGTCCTTGACTCCTTGACCATTTAGCAGGTCAACTAACTTTAAACATCGTCCAAGACACACAATCCCTTTGTTGAAACACTATAGTACTAGCATCACCTTGTGGAGCTTTCATCAATGGCTCAAATATTGGAACTTTTAAATTTTGGATCTTTGGTTAGGAAGTTTCCCAAACCCCAAGTGTTTATACATCACAACATGTCGGTTCAAGTGGTCAAGATACTGTGTTCAAGTCCAAGCTCTTATCAGATAGGAAGTGACCACCATTAAATAGAATTTGGTGGAGACGATGTAAAGCAATCTGAGTAAAATGAAAGTTCTGGACAACATCCCAGTAAATACTCTAGAATAAAACAAAAGATTTTAAAAGTTTTATAGCCAGAGGACACATCTGTCAGTCTGAAAACATTTGGCCATGACTTCACATGCTTGCTGAGTAGCTTAACTGTAACCCCTGAATTCCTCTTAAACCAGACCTCTGATGTTGAGTTCCTCAGTAAACCACTGGCTTCCTACCAGGCGTGAAAACTTTGAAGCGTATGAATGTGACGCAGACCACTTGACGGAACGTAGTAAGTTGTGTTGCGTGCGTCACGGAACATTGACCACGCATACTAGAACCTTTGATGAGGCCAATCAAACAGGTCGCAGGGTTAAGCTGTGCTTATAGCAACAGTAACAACGCTGCCTCAGGCCAGGTGCTGATATAAACAGAGCTGACCTCTGACCCTTTGGATCTGCTTGTAAAAACTGAGCTATAATTAGACTAAATGGTGCACCTCCGTTCTGACCCAGAGGAAATGTTATTAGAAGGAATCTTGCGCAGTATTGCGATCGAGCAAGGGTGAGTGAGTGGGAGCTTCATGGTAAACACAGAAAAACAACAGAGACATTGTTGTGCTGCAGTCAGAAACACAATTTTACTCTGAATACCACAAAATAAAACAATGTGCAACAAACTACCTTCAGGAAAGCAGCCAAGAGGCCAAAGGTACGGAGCTGCTCCATCTTCTCCTTTCATAGAACAAGTATTGGAATCTAATGTTCGTAGAGGAGCTGAGTTCTTCTGTCTCAATTGGAAAAAAGTTGGAAGATTTTTGAGTTCAAGTCCAGATTGTTGGCAAGACACTGAACCCCAAGTCGTCCATCGGAATATGTTTTGGTGTATGGGGATTTACCTTCTGGGCCAAAAGGTCAATATGACTACGCAACTGAAATTCAGATGATTTACTTTTAAGAGCGGCCAGATGAAAGCCGTCATTGAAAGAACACTATATTACATCCTGTTTGCAGAAAAAAAGCTGAAAATACACAGCAGCCTCAACATGCAACCCTGAGAGTAGCATGATGTGGCAGCTTGGGGGGATGCTTTCCATCTGCAGCCACAAAAGATGTTTAGATTTAATAGGAAGATCTACATACAGTGGAATCCTGGAAAAAACTTAAATAGAAAAATCCCTTCAAGCAGAACAAACAACAGGATCCTAAACACACACCGCTTCAGTTTAGTGCTTTAAGTCAAAGTATTGTCATGTGTTGGAATGGTTGCAGTCAAAGTACAGACCTAAATCCAACTGAGAATATGTGGAAGAACTTGGAAACTGTTGTTCACACACTGCCTTCATTCAAGCTGACAAAGTTTGAGCCACTTTGCAAATGCATACTCCAAAAAGCAGATGGATGGCTGGATCACTTTCCTTACATTTAAAAATTATGCACTACTTCGCAATAAAATGCATTGAAATTTGAAGTTGTAAAGACGAAAATTTCTGCAAAGGTTTCATCTCACAGCTGCCCTTTGGGCTGGTTTAGACCGTCAGGCGTCTAAGTCTCAGGTCCAACTATGCCACAGAAAGCAAAGAGAAAGCGGTCGACTCACGGGATCCCGATTTCGAAGATGTTGTTTTGGATCAGCTGCTTGCCCAGCATGATGATGCTGAGCTGAACGCACAACTCGATGAGGCAGCCTCCTGGTGCGCACTAAGGGAAACACAGAGGGTCAGTTCCAGAGCCGTGCAGGATCCTCGTATACTTGACCTTCTTAGCTAAGGTTTTACAGAAACAAACCTCCTCCATGCGATAATCATTGAAGACGTACACATAACTTCCAGGTCGACCCGCAAACCTACAAGAGCAAACAAAAGGTAACATTCATGGGGTATATATATATATTTTTTTGTTTTACCAAAATTAATTAATAATTTCTTTTATATGCAGATGAAATAAAAACATATTTCTTGTTTAAGAACAGACTCTTCTTGGCATAACATAAATCTTTAAAAATCAACGACAGGCCTCTTTTTTCTTCATTAATAATTTATGTTTTTGCGTGAATACACGGTTCCCACAGCTCAACATCATGTCAAACTACACACAGGAACATGCATACGAGGACTCGAATCTTACCGTCCCTTGAAGAAAGCCACGTAAAATATGGGAGCGTATGCATTCATAAACTTGAGCAGGAAGGCCTTAAGGATGAGACGCTCTTCGAAGTTGGTTTCCGTTTTAGGAATCTCTGAAAAAAAAAAAAAAAAAAAGTTAATATTACTGTTTACGTAAAGTTTTAAGAGGACAGTACTTTAATATGCACATTGGCTTTTGAAGATAAAACTTAACCCCAAATCCTATGTCAAGATGTCAGACAGGTTCCATTTAAGAGATTTCTCCATTCTACCAGTCTGGCTGTCATCAGGGCAGAAACTGAGTCATACAATGCGGTTAATCATAATTTTGTCTGATGATTTAAAACGTTAAAATATAATAAAACATAAGTAAAAACTGAAAGAATCTGTAAATGGAAAAATACTTTTCTTAGCAGCACACACATCAGTGAAAGTAGGTTAGTGTACTGGCCCTTGTCTTTTTGATTACACACACACACACACACACACACACTCCCTCTTTACACATCTGAATTCTGCCTCTATTTCTGGGGTTGGGAATATAGATGTGAATGTCGTAGAAACCTCTGGGGACGACGGATGAGAGAGCTGGAGCATGAAAACATCAAAGTTTTATCACACTGTCCAAGAAGAAGAAGAGGAGGGGAAAAATCTACATTTTTCTCAAATATGCAGACACATGCTCATTGTGTAAAACAAATGTTTAAAAACATCGGAGTGTGTGTGTGTGTGTTAAGATTTTTTTAACTAGTCCCTCTGCGGCTCAAGTTCAGTTGGCCATCCCTTCAAACTTAAATTTTTTACCCTTAAATAACGAAGCATCAGTTTATTAGTCTCTGTAGACAAGTCATTTCAAGAATTACTGCAATCAGCAGCAGTAAAACTGACCCAGGCATAAGTTAATTAAATTGTGTTATTTCCTGAAAATTTTGCATCATGCCCTAATATTTATTTTGATTCTGATTCCCGTTTGTGCCAAGTATGCCTCCTAGTCAAGTAAAAACAACTAAAAATATGCAATATATCAGATGTATTGGCACCAACATCGTTATTGGCTGATACATATCTGTATCAGCCCGATAAATAAAATTCAGCTTAAGTCAGCAGTGTGGTCAAGTTTTTAAGGCGTCAAAAGGTAAATCATATCGATATATGATATTGGTAAATACTGGTTATCGGCCATAACAGCAATATTAAAATCAGATATGGATATCAGACCAGATTTTCATATTGGAGAATCCCTAAAAATAACCAACTGACCTCCTGACATTGTTTTTTTTTTTGGAGTCATAGCAGTAGACCGTGAGCAGGCTACATATTTGACAGAAAAAGTAATCAAACTTGTGTTTCAGTTAGTCATTGTTGTAACATTTCTGGGCAATAAATATCAAACCATTGTACATCTTCACCAAGTGGAAAAAGTTTGTATGTAATCATTTTACACTGTTTCTATAACTGACAGAGCTAGGATAATACATGTTTGACTTGTATTCTTTTCTATTGCTTACGTGAAATTGTTTTGCAGTAAATATGTAAATTAAATCATAATTTCAAATTGCATTTCTTTTGTTTTACGTAGATTTCGACTATTATTAATACGTGTTGAATGATCTCACCAAAAACAAAAGCAGATGTTTAAGAGAAATTGTTTTTCACAGCACCGTATTTTTGAAATTTCTTGAAGAATTACATTATAAGTTTGGACGCATTTTCTCTATACACATCTGGTTTGTGTGCGTCTTTGGAAGAAAATGTAGGGCTTGTTTACTAGTCCAAGTTTGCTCTATTTTTAGCATCAATATTTTTCATTCCTGTTTGCAGTTTGTTTATGAAGATAATATATTTTTAAAAGATGTAAATGTGCAGATGGGAGTCAGAAGAAAAGTCGGAGATAAGACAGAATCTAAACAGATCAAATCTACGTTGGGCTGCAGTTGCCACCATATACATCTTGTTTTAACAAGCAGAGGTGCAAAAAGTGGGTATGGAGCGTATGCAACGCATAGGGGCGCAGCACCAGAGGGGGCGCCAAAACCCCGTCTGGAGGGGGCGGCGCGCCGATTATGTTTTCCATACACTTCAGCGCGCCTCACGCTCCTTCACGTCTCGCACATAACGAGGTAAATGTATCGATTTTTACACTTCACGTAGCGTCGCCTCGGGGGGTGTGATGTGAGAATCGCTCCTTCACCCTGACGGTCCTTCCCTCGGGGGACGGGCAGGCGCTGATTTATGTTTTCGCATCCACCTGAATAATGTGCAGTTGCGCCACTGTTAACAAGTACTGTGTACTTTTCAGTGATGTTATCATTGTTATAAAAGCGCATGATGTTTGTTGTTGTGGTTTCACGGTTCTCTGTCCTTTTGTGTGGTTTCTTCTCTCTTTCTGCAGGTGTAGAAGCAGACTTATACAGTGTTTTCTTGTTTTGTCCTCTACTCTCATCTCCTTCATTCCCTTTAAACCTTTTTCTCCACCTTTCTCAATTTTTCCCCTCCCGTTTTTTTCTGTGACCGTGCCCATTACATTCAAAATAAACTGAGGATTTTTTATGTTCAGGTTTTACACATATATATGTATATATCAAATAGAGCATATGGAAAGCTGTAAAGCTCTACTTAGACAGCCATTTTTGTGTGATTGTTCTGAGTCGCCCTGATTTTAAACATGTAGGATTTTCGTGTCCTGCATAACTGAGAATCTACACCAATGAAAACGGCTTTAGATGAGAGGTCAGTGGGTCTTTCTGTACCTAGCTCCGTCAGCCACAGTGCCACGGTGCCGTAGATTTCATCCAGGATCAGGATGACCACGAGGTTGATGATGACAGCGGTGGCCGTCACGGTCACCCGGACATTGGACTTGGTCTCGGGGTCTGGACTCATCGCCATCAAGGCTGAGATCGTGATGCGGTAGATGATTACGCCGAAAACCGCTGAAAACGTCAGTCCAAACTGGCAGCAAAGTGAGAAGAAAATGCTTTGACAATTAGTTAAGGTATGGTAAATATCAAGGAAGTGTATTGTATAAAGCACAGCACTTGTACTCGACTTGCCATGAAAAGGATAGAGGAAATGTTCATGAAGTATCCAGGGAGACGGTCTTTCCACGTCAACTTCTCGGCGACCGTCTGATTGAAAAGACGAGAGGGAAACAGAGGAGAGAAAAGAGTGAGAGAGTTCCCAGTTTGCCAAGCAATAGGTCAAGGTTGTTCAACTTCATTGGAAGATCTGGAGTGAAGAAAAAAAAAGACCCCAAAAAAAACAGCTTAAGTGAAGAAGAATCAGACAAACACGTGCATACCTCTATTTGCTGAATCGGCGCCAGATAAGCGGAAGGTAAAGGAAGGATGGAAGAAAGGTCAAGGGGTGTAAATAAAATGTACTTACTAGAGTTATGGTGAAAATAGAACTAAATAAAGACGCATCTCTAATAAAAAATAACTTCAAAAGAGATAATGAGGAAAAAAATGACAGAAACAGGAGAGAAAAGTCTCAATTGAGCCTCTATTGCCATTACTTTAATACAGAATGTTCTCATAGTACTCATATTTGGAGGAATGTGGGATAATTTCTTAAAAACAAACAAAAAAAAGTCATAATTTGTTTCAAGTCATCTCAACTTATCTGACCTGATTCACATCATGGAGTAATGTCACATATTTTGAATAAGCAGGAACAGCAAGCAAGTGGTGATCAGTCCTAAAGCAACGCTGCCATCTAGTGAAGGTAAAGGAACAGTGCAACCAGCAATTCGAGCTGCCTGGACTGCACTCAGAAGAGAACATCCTCACATGGACTTAAACAGCTACATTGAATTTGAATGGAAACCGGAAGTTCAAGCTTTTGATTTTTTTTATCAGCAAATCACAACCAAGAGAAGCTGGAACAAGAGGACAAAGTCAAGAGAGGGGGACGTGGAAAGACAAAGTTATAGTCCGAGTGTGTGTGCGTGTGTGTGTGTGTGTGTGTGTGCGTGCGTGTGTGTGTGCGTGCGTGCGTGTCTGTGTGTGTGTGTGCGTGTGTGTGGGGACAGCCATCAGCGGAGGAGGTAGTAAATTAGGTCAGGCGTTATATTTGGCTTGTGGAGTCCACTGAGGAGAGCCCGACAAAGCTCTCATGACGGAGACCCAGTGACAGGTTTTTATTTTCTGTCTCTTTCTGAGCAGCCTGCTCCTACGCTCCCATTTATGCAAAACAGGAAGTCAAAATAAACATTTTGTTTATCATGTAAACACTAAATAATTGCTTTATTTCATCCTGAGACCTAACAGAAATTGAGGATTTTTTAAAATTTATTTATTTATTTATTTATTTATTTTTATTTATTTATTTATTTTTTTTTGGTGTTTTTGGGCAGATTTGGTTCATCTTCCACTCCTGCATGTCAAATGTTGAACCAATAGCCACTCTCACAAGTGTATCAAAGCAAAGCATATCAAAATGCTTGGTTTTTAAGAGTATAAAAATTTTGATGCATAATTTCGAAAGACTAGAAAGAAAATCTAGAGAGTTTGAGTTATAAATTAAACTGATGTTGGCCAAAAAAGCAAACTCTACACCTACGAACCTCGGTCTCGGCTCGGTTGAAGTGAACTCCGCTGTGGTTTGAATGCGTATGTGAACGCCAAGACCACCAGAGACCGCTCCAAAAGCAGGAAGTGGACTACGGCACAGTGAATTCTGGGTAAATACAATCATAAACAAACAAGTCTAGCACTAGCGGGAGAAATGACTCGTGGTGTTTTACCAAAGACAAAAGAGAAATCCTACAAGCGCTAAAATCTGACGCCACTCCATTTTGTTTACATTTCCCTGAAGTAGGAAGTTGCGCTCAGTGTCTTCTTTAGAGGTTTTTGTGTCGTTTCCTTCAGTAGTTCTTTGCGCAGCGCCACCACAGATGGGGAGGTGAACAGGTTTTTCAAGTAGTTTGGCTCATTTTATTCAGTGAAGTGTGGAAGTGAAACGTACCAACTGATGATGTAACAAATGTTACAATTTTGCTCCCAACTCAAGTCCACCAGACTATCAGGTCTGAAACCACCGGGGAAATCTAGAATGGTGAACTTTAATCCCTTCTGCTCACTTCAATGAGCAAAAGCGAATTGGAGTGAAAAAATTGCCCCATTGTCCTAAACACAATTCTCACTTTAGATGAATTGGACTGACTCCAAAAATAGATGGCTGGCTTTATTTGTATCGAGTGCTGAAAATGTTCTGCACTGACTCCACTAAGCGGTGAAACATGCAGCTCTGTCTGACCTTTGAAAGCTAATTTGGTTTGAACCTATAACACAATTTTTGTGTCTCAGGTAATAAAGCCAAGGGCTGCTAAGTGTGCGTGAGAGGGAGAGTTGTGTGTCGCCATAGTGACGGTCACTAATCTTACCCCTGGCTTCCTGCCCAGCATGCATCACTCCCACTCAGGCGCTCTCCCTCTGTTTTTCTTCCTACCTCCACTTCTCCAAGCCTCTCAGTCGCTTGTGTTTTGTGTTTCTTTGTCTTGTATCTCTCTCAGTTTTTTTATTTTATTTTATCCATAAATGAGCATTGACTGACAAGCTGTAAGGTGACATACTGCTCATAAAGTGGCAGGTTGAATAACCCTTGAAAAAAACTTAAGTCCCAATAAGAACATTCAGAAAAATTAGATTTAACCTTCTTGCCATTAATTAATTTATATTAGCACTTGATTTTACGTTTACTTTTAACCTTTGTTTAATTTTACTGTCTAATTTAACCTATTTAATGAAATTAGTTGACAGCTGGCTGGTTGTATAAGCGATTAGCTCGATTAGCATAGTTAGCACTGCTAGCAATAAACATGAGTTTTGTGGTTTAGCTATTCCCAGGTAATACAGACCTTCATACTAACAGAATCTCTATCAGAACTTTGCCAACATTTTTTAGTTCAGAACATCCCATAAAAAACACAGGCTGAGTAAACAAAAGCAGAAAATATAGACAGGTTCGCTGTAAAGTGTTGCTAATGGCAGAACTGGGTCAATTCAGCTCTTTTGACTTAAGTTTACCTGAATATAACTAGAGTGGGTACAAACTGATGAGGTTGATAGCTTCTTTTCAAGTGAAGGAAAAACGACCGAAGTTAGCTTCTTTGAAAAGGCAAAGAAGCTAAACGATTAGCATCAATTGAAGCTAAGCTTGACTGAAAAACTAAAAGAACTATTCCACTTAAAAAACAAAGCTTAAAATTTTAAACAGGTTTCTTCAGGACACCACTTACATAAATAAATGTAAATCTTCTCACTGACCCACACAAAGTCACTGTACTAAATCATATTTTGGAATGTTGTTGATAATGTAAATACAGTGAGTTTTTTGGGGTTTTGAAACATTAACTGGAAGTTACTGTTACTGATTAATAAAATAAATTTCCACAATATACAATATGATTAATGCCCACCCCTACTTTCAATCTCAATTGTTTTTTTTGTTCAGTTTTGACTTGCAAATTAAGATGTTTTCTGATTTCTGATTACAGAATTAATATTTTAAACTGTCTTTAGCCTCTTAAGTGAGCAAGTTATCCGTGGGCAGTTATCAAAGCGTGGGTAGCTTCAATAACTGACAACATCAGGCTACATGTGTGCTGCCTTATGTGTTGTATAAAAGTAAAAATAAAAAAAAACAAAGTTTGAAAACTCAAAAGGATAAATAGAAAATTTAGGACCATCAGCAGGATGGGTTAACCAAATAATAAACGAAGAAAGCAAAAGGAAACGAATACCTGAGCAGATACCTGAGCACCTTCTGTGCTGAAACCACAGCAGCCAGAGGATGGGACAGGAAGAGAAGAACAGAGAGACAGCAGCCTGCTGGAAAGGAAACTAAGGGAGAGGAAAAGAAGGAAGGAAGGCACGCTAAGGAGAAAAGAGGAGAGGAGAGAGGGAGGGTTACCGGTACTCCTGCAGCCATGGCAGACAGCAGTTTTTGTCTCCATCTGTCCTTCCCTGTCACTGTCCCGTCCTCCTGCTTCTCTGGCTTCAAGACAGAGGGACGAGTCACAAACAAAAACATACACATAAACATGGCTTCGCATCAGCCAGTGGGGCCAGGGTTGAGCTGCAAGGCAACCCCTATTCATCCTAACCCTAACCCACACCCATTAGCTATAGAAGTGCAGAAGTCGTAATTATGAAAACAAATGTGATTAATGGAAACACGACAACTTCAAAAACAAATTAAAGGTTCTTGCACTAGGGTGTGGTGGTTTTTTTCAAACGCATCGAAATCGATGTACGTTGCAAAACTCCCATGGAAACGCATTTTTTTTCACATCACAGGAGTTACGTGATCAACAGCCGGATGTTACTGCTGTCGGAAACGACAAAGAAGACGACAGGAAGTGGTAGGAGGATGATGGTTTGTTTTTGTTTTTTCCAGGCAATGTGCAGCTGGCTCCACCAGAGCTCTCACAGTGTCACACAGTTCAGAAGAAGCTGTGTGTCATTCCAATGTGTTGAATCCATAACTGTAAAATGACCGACTGCAATTTCCCCAAAACACCAAATATGTAGCCGCTCCAAAGTGGGCGGGGCTTATCACTCCAACCTGAGTAAGACACCAACGTCTCTTCTGATTAGCTGATAGATGATGAGCCTTAAATATGGCTGCTTGGCCTCTTTAACACTCGAGTTAGGTTTACTTTAAAGGGTAAGGAAACCAAAAATCAAGCAGACAAGTTGGAACGTATTTGTGATGAAGGGGAAAGACATTTCCATTAAAACATATTCTTTTGTTAGAAATGGTTTAGTCAAACTGCAGACCTGAAAGATTTGCATCAAAAGGATGATTTTTATAAAGTATTGAATGAGAAGTAGCATAATAAAAAGCCAGCTTGGTCTTTTTTTGAAAGCGACTGGTTGGAATATTTTTTGGTGGTGTCAGAGTAAAGGGGACTCAATGCAAATGAACGTGTAACTTCAGAGCTGCTAGAGATCACAGAGGATTTTCCTTTCACTTTGCGCTGGTTTGTGTCTATCATAAAGTACATGAGAAAAAGAGGCTGTAATGAGTAAAAAAAATATTAATTCCTTTTCCAATCATGTTTTAAAGTTCCTACCTCGTTCTTTTTCTTTTTCTTCTTCTTCTTCTGCTGCTGCTTCCTCTGTCGCTTCTCCAGGAGGATGGTCTCATACTTTGGCCGGGGATGTTCCTGACAACAAAACGGGAGCTCGGTTATGGAACAAAATTCCCATGATGCATCTGTGCAGCTGATTTAGTACTTAGTAACGAGCCACATGACACCCTGTTCTCATCAATTATCCCTGTAGATCTGAGCTGATCTGTATGTAAATATCTACGTCTGAGTTTCTAGATGGTTTGGTGTTTTTTTTGTTTTTTTTTACCTCGTCCTCCTCGATTCCCGTCAGATCCCAGCTGAAACTCAGGCTGATCTGTCGCCGTTTCCAGTGCTCCAGGAACAACACAGCTGCACACAAACGCACAAAAGTTCAGTAAATCATTCTATCAAAAACTTTGCTGTCTACAAACCGTAAAACAGGATTTTACCGCTAAAAAACAGAAGAATATGAGAAAAACCCCCAACTTTTTCTTAAGCCCAAAAGTTTTCATACCTCTGGCAGATTTTGATTTAATTTTATTATCACTGAAGCAAAATCTTTGTTTCCGGACCACTCAAAAGACAATGAAACATGTTAAATTTTTGTCTTTTATTTATGTTCTAATCAAAAACGGCAGATAAAAAAATTATTTACATAATTTTCAATACTAAATGGAGAGATATTTATTATTTCTTGCAAATGTTGACCACCTTTCTGTAGCTTTTCCAGTCACTCCGGCTAAATAGAAAATAACTTATCTAATATGTGCTTTGCATCAGATCTGTCATGGCTTCTTCCTGTCTGAGTGGCTTTTCAGCCCCTGTGAGTGCAGAGCGTTTTTCATGGAGGATAACGACACTCAGACAGCAATCTTAGCTTATGTTGACCTCTGTATTTTTTTAAAAAGTGTATTTTCAAACAGTAAGTGTAAATATCTGTGTGTGTTTTTCTTTTGTTGAACTCCTGAAACTTTACTCCCGTGCCGATTTAGCTTGTCGCCACAAGTGTCCGCCTCCGCTTGAGGCGAGAGAGGACGTAAGATATTAATGAGCACCTTCATGCTCACCCCACCTGTCCTCTTTTGTCTCGCTCTCGCACACATACACACACACATGCACTGGCGCAAACCCGAAACCTCACCCCACAGAGACATGAAGATGGCGAAGAAGACGGTGGCAGGGTTATCGAAGAGGTGCGAAGCCCTGGCGGTGCCGCAGGCCGTGCTGAGGTGCCAGTAGTCGCAGGCGCCGTCGCATAGCGGACACATGGTGAAGTTGAGACGCTCGTCGCACATCTCCAAACTGTAAAGAGGGAGAGACGGAGGGAGGAAAGGAAGGGCGAGAACTTCAACCCACCGACAGACGTGCCGACGCTTATTGTGCGCAGCATGAAAACAAAACCGTGATTTCAATCCCCGCATTCAAAAAAAAAAAAAAAGACTTTAGGAGATGCTCGTGTCTGTTACATGTGCGTACAAGAAATGAATGGGACTTTTAACTCCTGACTACCACACAAGCTTTTGTACTTTGACCCTATTCATAGTCGGTGTGGGCTGAATCCATGACACTCGCGCACACACTGCCAGCCGTACCTTCTGTGCCTCCCACACGGCCGTGACTAAAGCCAGATACAGCAGGTATCTGGGCAATCCCTGTCTAGTGGAGTGTGTGAGTGTGGCTCGTGAACATGAGCACACACTGAAAAGAGATCCCTCATTTTCAGGCTCTTCCATTGTTTTACGGCGAGCCTCCGTCCCGCTCCGTTTTACACGATCGACTACAATCTGTGAGAGAACGGCTCGAGGTTTCCGGTTGTACCTGGGGATGTTAGTGTCCACCGTCGCCACGCCGTATCCAAACACGATGATTCCCACTATGGAGGCCGGGATGAGCAGCTGGGTGTAAACACCAAGCCATGCAAAATACAGGCCGATCTTCTCTCCAAAGTACTTCCTGCAGAAAAACAAGACAGGCTCACGTGAGACGAGGATGAGTTTGCAAATCTCTGCATTCCTAAAATGTAACTGCGGACTATTTGTCTAAATGGAAGGAAAATTAACTTCTTCTCTTGCTTCCCTTCATCCAAAAGACTTCCTCAGTTCATGGGTGAGAATTATCCCAGTACCTGAGCGTTCTGTTTTTGGGTTAAAACTGTTCATCAAAGAGGTGGCTTATTGAGACGAGGCTCAGCGCTTCATCTACGTCTCAAAAACATGAAGAGAATGACATTCACACTTTGGACAGGGAAGACAGGGGGTTTAGAGGAGCGAAAGAAAAAATATCTACATGAAACAAAAGCAGGAGTAAAACGAGGAGGTGGTCTACGGTTTCATCTTTCTACAGTGCAGGACAAATCAAGAATAAATCATACTCTGTTCATACTTCTCCGTCAATACTTAATGGAGGAATGTTGTTTGAATTTGCTGGTCGGATCTTTGTCTGTCGGTGTTTAATATGCAGATACATAGAATGATGTGCGATGTGGAGTCTGTATTGACGTCTTCAAGATTGGCAACATTTAAATCAGTAGATGCTTTTCCAAAAGTGCACATGCGAGCAACACTGCTGGTCAAGACCAAGAGCAGAAGTTAAATATACCAAACAATTTGTATCAAAATGTTTGTAATAATCAGTCTTTCAGATGAACTAGATTAGCAACAGAGCGCTTTTAAAACCTAGAGTAGGGTGCCGGTTTGTTGGGTTTCCAAGCTACTGCTTAATGCATAGACTGTTATTAACGGTGCTTCCATTACAAATATGTGCAAAACATTAACAATTTTCTGCAAATGTTGAAAAGTCCACAAATTCACAATTGCGTTGTTGCAATTAAATAAGAAACGCGATTAAAGTTTGTTTGTGTTTTGTTTAATAAGTCATTCATGTCACACCATCATCCTCCCAAATGTCTTCTTCTTCTTCATGGTTTGCACCACGCTTTTTTTATGTGATGTGAAGAAAAGTGCTTCCATTTCGGTTTTGCAAAATAAGCCAATTTCAATATTTCCAAAACAAACAAAACTCCTGATCCTAGAGTCAAAACCTTTGATCTTAAAACAAGTGTTTTCGAAATTAGCACGTTTCCATCAAGTGGATTTATTTTCAAAATGTCAAATTGCGCAATTATACGGTCAACGGAAACACAGCTAGAGAAATGTTTGACTAATAAACTCACATTTGCGCTTAAAAGACTGTTAACTCTGAACTTCCCATGCGAAATATCCTCATTGCCATTAGCTGCATTTTTTTTACGGATCTCCAGATTGTAGCTTCAGAAATAAATAGAAATGCAATAAGTCACAAACCTGAACTCAGTTGAAAAGAAAAGTCAAAATGTATGACAAATAGCTAGCTGTTGAGAAAAACATTAATTATGCATTTCTGAGTATAATTAAATATGACCTGACGGACTGCAGTATTTTCTATAACCGTAGATTCGGTGGTAGTTATGAGATGAACCGTGTTCAGAGGGGTAGCCGGCTCTTCTGTTTTGCAACATTACCTGACCAGATCAATGGGCTGGTACTTGTAGAAGGCCGAGTATCTTGCCCACTCTTCGAAAAGAACCTGACAGTGCACACACACACACACACACACACACACACGCACACACACACAAAGAGACAGAGAGAGACAGAGTGAGAGAGAGAGAGAAAAACATTCAGAGTCAAGTCAATGTGGGTGTGTGTTGTCATGTTGAAAGTTGAAAAACATTTTTTTTTTTTCCAGAGGCACAGCTGATCCGGAGGCAGGCGCCTCCTGATTGGCCGAGCTGAGCCTCGGAGGAGCTGCGGTGTAAGTAACTCCATCCTGAAGACGAGTGAAACCCGGTAAGGTGGGAGGAAGATGGCCCGGCAGAAACACGGTGTCGGGTTCGACAACATCCACCGCACACGGAGCGCTTTCCAGAAACGCTTTGTGTTTATGCCCAGAAACGCAGAGAGAAGTGAAACTACTGTCACTTTGGCTTTTACTGTGCTTCGTTTGAGATTACTTACCCGTTCCTCCAATCAGACATGCAAGTGTTTGAAAACAGTCCAGATTTTTCCACTTTATAAGCAAAGTTATTCCTTATTGCAGCATCTAGGAGAAACATTCTGGCTTTCACCATCGCAAACCTTGAACTGATTAGACTTTTGCACATTTTGCCATTTTTCTCGTAGTATTGGAGAATTGAAAGGTGGCTAACTCTTAAATATATAAGTAAAAGAAATAACGCACGGAGACATAGTTCTTGCTGCTAGTATTTCCGCTCTTACAGTAGCTCTTACAGTAGCCTCATCAAATTCAACGTGTTTGATGAGTTTTCGCTTTTCAAGTCAAGAAACTGACATTTCTTGACTGATCAAGCTCAGTCGGATTTAGGTCTGGGATTTAATTAGGCCATTTAATCTGAGACATTTGCTTGGAGTTCTCGTTGCATGTCCTTCGAACAGTAAAGACCAGAGTTAGTTCTCTTCTCTACATAGGCCAAAAATATCAATGAAGTAGATCATAACTTTTCTTTTGTGCTGTATCTATTGGATTGTCTTAATCATTTTTTTAAATATGCAGTATATTAGTATGTAAAATATCTCTGTTCTCTGGGCTATTCTTCATTTGTATTTTTTAATTTGTTTTTTTTTAACCAGGTCAGTCAATTAAGAACAAATTCTCATTTTCAGCAGTGACATGTACAGAAAACATTAGAACAGAATATCAGAAAACAGAGAAAAAACTGAATTACGATCATATTCATACTGACTCAACATGCTATAATACATGAGTCAACGGCTTTTAAAAGCAGGTACATTAATCATTCGTTATTGTTTACAATCAGCTTTATTGCACAAAAAAGAATATGGTGGTTCAATTGTTAAATAAATGTTAAATTATAAATCCGCAACAGAAATCTAAGACATAACGCCGGCTGGGTTGAAATGAAAGCCTGTGTAGCAACTGAAAAAGGTTTTGTTTATCCTAATTTACATTCCCATCCCTGCTTGTTCTGTTATGTTGTGGTATACTTTGGACAGATTTATTTACCGGGGGTTTATTTCCAGTCTGGACTTTCAGTCAACAGATTACCGTTTCTCTCTCTCTCCCTCTCTCGTTCTCGCTCCGCCTGGGAGGAACGTTTGCTCGACTTAAACTCCAATCTGTGCCGGTGTTAGGCAGATGGGACGACGTACGAATGCGAACGAAAGGAGAACAGAACTGCCATTGTTCGGAAAGGCCCGTGTGTTCCGTTGCTTAGATATCCGCAGGGCCGGGGTTCGGGGTTCGAGCTGCAAGCGGCCCGACCCCGGGCCCCGGCCAGGGGTTGCGTTCGACGTCCGGCGTCGAAGTTTAGCATCTCTTTTAAGGGCAGATGGAACAGGGGAGGAGGAGGGAAAACGGAGGGTTAAACCAAACTGAACGAAAAGGCAGAGGTGTGAAAGCAGAGCAGCACCTGTCTGTCGTTGCGCTCCTCCAGGTGTCCAGTGACCTTAAAGTCGCCCTGCGGAGCAAAAGGACAGACATGAGGAAACACCAGAACACAGGAAAAACAACTAGTCACACTTTAAAAGCTCAAATGATTGTTAATGGAAAAAAAATCCACATGAATAAATATCAATATGAAGGAAGGAAATCTGTCAAATACAGATACAAAAAATGTAAACTGATAGTTTATTTTACAAGAAATGCAATCAGGAGAAATTATCAAATTTTACAAGAAAAAATTGGAATATATGTTGACTTTTATAATAATATCCTTTTCACATACTTGTTGAAACTGCCATGAAATAGTGACAGTTTAATATGAGACATAATCTGTGAAACAAACTGCATCTCCTCCGCCTTCACGGCAAAAACACAGAATCCCACCCGGCCGTTTCTGCTGCAACTCTCAGTGCGCTTGAAATGAGAGAAAACTAAATCACGTGTAATTTTTCAGCAAGATATAGGAAATAGTTTTAAGTCAATACTTCACGGCTCACACTTACATCATGAAGAGGGAAGGCGGCGTCATATACGCCCTTGGCTATCAACGTGCTGATGCCTGGAAAAGAGAGGAGGGGCATCGGTGAGGTCAGGTCAGGTCACATCATGTCACACGTTTTATTTTAAATGGAGCAGCAGGTTTTAAATCAGAAACTCAGACCTCTGGTCAGAGGGGAAAAAACAGATAGTAAAGCAGTTCTGTTATTTGAGTTTTTCAGATTATTAAAATGTAAAGGTCAACCTATTGTCACGATCTGTGTTTGTGTGTTTATTTTTGAGTTTTTCTGTGTAGTGCTGTTCCCTGTGAGTCTCTGTCCTGTCCTCCCCGTTTGTCTCCCAGGTGTGTCTCGTCCCCTTGATTACCCCGTGTGTATTTAAGTCCACCTGTAGTCTCCGTCTCTTGTCAGATCCTCGTCGTTGTTAGCGTCATTCCTCATTCTTCGTGTCCTACGTCAGTTCGCAGTTTCCTCAGTAGAACTGTATAGTCCTGAGGTTTCATGTGTCAGTCTTTGTCAGTCGCTACCGGTATTAGCTGTGTGCTAACGTGCTGCCTGTCCTGGACTGTGAGATCTTCATTAAATTCATCATCTTCTCCACACCTGGGTTCTCTGCGTCTCTCCTCACCACCACCAACCATACCACTTCATGACACCTATGTCAACAAGTTCGACACGTGTTTTTATTTTTGAATTTAGGAACTTTTTATTCCAATCTCTGAAGAACTTACAAAGAAAACTTGTTGTATTTTATTTGTTTTTGTGAGTTGATGCATGAAAAAATGATCGAGTCAGAAGGGCATATGAAGAGAACATATACTTTCACTTTTTACTGCATATTTATAAGGTTTAGATCTGGGTGTTGACTAAGATGTTCTGTTACAAGAATATGATCTTAATATTCCATTATACCTCAGGCTAAATTCAAAGTAAAATCAATGCAGTCCAAAGACAGTGTGAGCATTATTAGTCCGTGGAAGGGATTTGTTAAAAAGCAGAGAACACCTGTGTGGTTAACAAACACCACACCCAGGAAACACCCATCCTCACGCTTGAACACACTCAACCAGACAGAAACAACCACATCTCCCAGAGGCCCCTGCTTCCAATCTTTAGCTGACCTAGGAAGTGTGACCCACTTGTGGAGGAGATGGTGCAGAGCAACAGGGTGTGTGTGTGTTGCTCCACTGAGGAATGAAGGGAATAGAGGAAAAGCAAGGTCAGAGAGAGAGAGATGAAGCTCTGTTTTCTCTACCGTTCCTCCCCTGCAGCCCTGTGAGAACCCGCTGGCTGAGGCCGTCTGCTGCCATGGGCCAGCCAACCAGACATATGGGGGACACTGGACATGAAAAGGGTGTCAGCTCATCTCCACAGAGGAACCACGGCTCGCACAAACTACATCAACGCCAAGTACAGTACATGTTACACATGCAGCTAACCCGCTTCCTAGCACGGCTGTTTTGGGGAGAGCCGGTGCTTTTTCCTGCCTTGCTAGCAACAACAAACATTAATGCTGAGGTAACATTATATTTATAATTATCTCAGTCCTGATATTGGTGGAATGTCTGGTGAGCTGCTGTGTTTCTGTGGAGAGTCAAACAGAACTGAGGTGAGCAACTGTCTCAATGAAAATATTCAGGGAGAAAAATTCCCAGCTAAGCTAAGCTAAATTAGCCTAGCCTAGCTCTAAATGCATCTAAATGGGATATATATTGAGGTACTTCATGAGGGTATTAAGCGACAGACCAACACAAAGTAGGAGATGCATTTTAGGTCAAGGGAAAATTAGAAAGTTGACTTCGTGAAAATGGTGGAGGCAGCATCATGCTGAGGGAATATTTTGGTTTCAGATTGAATACACTAAGTCTGGATGGATGGAGGTGAAAAGTAAAATAAAAATCAGAATCTAAATATTGTATATTTTGTAGTGCAGCTGCTTAGAAAAAATTGTGGTGGCAGCATCATGATGTGGGGATGCAGTAGCAGGGGAGCTGGTTGCGTTGGTCTGTCACATTAAACACCCAGTTTGTGATGCAACGACATCACAAGACAGTTTGTCTGCTTTGGGTTCATTTGGTTTTACTCAAATATCAACTTTTGGGTACCTAAGACCTAAGACTTTATCTTTCTTCACAA